CAGTGGAGGAACAAACAGAAACAAGTTCGAGCGTTCTTCAGTATACCACCACATTTCAACAAACTTCTAAAGGTGAGTATTCAATACATGTATACAGCCAATTTGGAGAACCTATGGTGGGTGATCGTATAAGGATTTCTATTTGAATCCTTGCAGAATCCTTATAGGAATTTTATAAGCTTCTGTGCGATCCTAACATCTTTTGTGTTTCCTATAGAACAGTGATATGTGTTCAGTCTATGGAACACACCTACCAATTCCTGTGCGATCTAACAAAATGGCAAATGAGAAATGTCAATGAAAATAATAAGATTCATACAGTAGAAATTTCCTACTAGATGATCTTGTAGAAATCTTGCGATTTCTTATCATAGCAAACTTATAGGATTCTACAGTATGAATTCTCGTAGAAAATGTTACATATACGTATGATAGGAATTCTACAGGATCATCTACGATAGGATCTACTGATCCTATGCAAGGATTCTTACGCCTTCCTACAGGTATAGGATATAATAAACGTATAAGATTCGTTTTGAATCCCTACTAGAAATTTTGGTCGTGGACGGTATTTAAGTTTATGAATAAATATTTTAAGGTCCAATAACAATTGATGAATGTTCACCTGACGGCCGCTTCATCCAGTTGGCAAATACGTCGAAAGATAAACATGCTGATCTCTCTAGCTGGTATCTGATACGTAAAGTCGATGCTCAGGATGGCATAATATATCGGTTTCCATCGGAATTTACATTATATCGTGGTCAGACGGTTCGTATATTCACTCGATCATCACAAAACGAGCGAACGGGTAATGACCTTGTCAATTTGGAAGCTGACTCATGGGGCTTGGGATTATATATTATCACACGACTGATCTCCGACAATGATGAAGAGCGCGCAACACATATTCAAAGTACGGCGTATCCAACCAGTCGTTAGAAACACTGCATACACACTAAACTCTCTTGTAAGCCTTATTTTGGCACAAGGACTTTGAAGTCTAGACTCTCATCTTTTGTAGTAGATTATAAGCAAGCTGCTAATAATAAAACAACAAAAACTAATCTCCGCAGTTGACAACATAAGTGCATAAAATACGGAAAAAGTACAGGCTGATTTGAGCTGATTCCGAATATGGAGAATAAGAACACGATTTGGTCTCGATATTGTAGTTTCATTTGTTGTAAATTTTCTGTCGAGATATTAGTTAAAGGATACTTTACGATAAAAAGACTTCTCGAATCTTTCAAAATGGATTTCACTGTTCGATAGAACTCGCCAAGGTGCATCAGAGGATATACCTGGTTTGCGTAGAAGTCATGATGAAAAAAACGTTTTTTTCGAAAATAGCGCAAGTTGATATTCGTCTAGAAAAAACGTTTTTCCGAAAGAAAGAAAGTATTTCCAATACTCATTAATATATCATAAGGTGCGCCAACAAGTTGTCTATTGAATGCACTATTGAACATAGATAACAGTTCATTTTGAAAACTAACATTTCAAATAACAAATGGCTTACAGAACATTGAATCTCAAAAAAATATTGGTTTACACTCATAACAACGTGATACAATCAGTTATTTTGTGAAACACTGCCAGAAGCCTAGATCAACAATAATTTTGTTTGAGTTATATTACAGTACCCCGCAAAAGTAGCGGCCCTCTGTAACTCCAGAACCATGATAGCTAGGGACTTCTAATTTTGTGTAGTCATAGCTCTTACCGAATACTGATCATCCACCAAGTATGGGTCTCTTTACCTAGATGATTCGTAAGATATAAGTGATTTATGTCTTTTTCGTAAAATGTCAATAGCTCCTGATCTAAGACAGGTGAAAACTTTTGCTTTTTACCAAAATGTAGCCACGACTCTACTGTATGTTCGATATAAAATTTTGAGTTGGCTGTTAGTAGGCAGTGAAATACAGCTATTTTACGGGCAAGATCCCTGAAAATGAGGTTTTGAGATATGAGATCCTTTCCAGGAAAAATTCATAACTCATTCTAAGAACATCAGTTCCACTTCAAACTCACAACAAATACTCTTCGACAACTGTAGACTATCCAGTCAAAGTATGAAGGTTAACTATTGTGTGGTTCTGGAAATTCACTGAGAACGAGCACTCACAATTGAAACATACGTAGAAGAGCGAGGGTGAGGAACTAAGGGTCGCTCTGTCTACTATGGAATCTCTATTCAATCCGCATCATAATTATGAAAGAATAATCATAGAAATCTGTGCTTACGAAAAGCGTAGGTAAAACTTTTGTCAGAAA